CCTTGTTGGCTTTCTGAGGCGGAAGAGTGTGACCTGCTCCTACAGACCCGCATCCCTACTCGCAGCTACTTCGCTCTACACCAGCACCCGCATTGGAGCTCAACGAAAACCTCACATACAAAAAGGCCGTTCCCCTCGTTTCCTGCCATCGTTCTCTTTCGGTCTCTTCCACCCACCAACGGAGCCATATCAACCCCCACTGAGACGAAATAGAAAAAAACTACCACACAAGCAGCAGCTACGTCGCCCCTCGCATCTTTGCCAGGTCCACAAGCATCGTACCTACTGCTGAAGCATACACCTCATCATGTCAAAGCGAACAAGCAGCGCCGTGACGAACGGGAGCGCAGCCAAGGATGCCGGCAGCTTCAACGAGCCGGGTGCGTCACCGCCCACTTCAGAGCATTCGGTGCATATTTCAGACCGAGAAGCTGACCAGAACTTTACCGACAGCATACGACAAGCAGAAACTCCTCTTATCCGCCGACACGGGCCATTTCTCCTTGATTCGAGCACTTCACCTTGCGGATGTCATTACACTGTGCAATGGTGCGTGCACATACTCCTCCCTCTGACAGACAACATGTCCTTTCTCTGCTGGCACCCCTCGCTGTACGAGTCGAAGATACTGCCGGAGAAGAAAGCTGATGGCTTGCCTTTCTAGGTGCCTGCGGCGTTATGTCGATTTTCACCTCCCTCCGTTACTGTCTCGGCGATCCCGCATCTACTAGCACTCTGTACCTCGCCCTTTTCTTCTTGCCATTCGGTTTATTCTTTGATTTCATGGACGGAAAGGTTGCGCGATGGAGAAAGAAGAGCAGTATGATGGGTCAGGAGCTTGATTCGCTGGCTGATTTGGTATGTATCTGGACAACAAGTCACCTGAACCCGTTGACTACTTTAACCTATTTGAAGGTAGTATGGCCAGGCTAACTTTCATAGATATCATTCGGCGTGGCTCCCGCTTCCGTGGCCTTCGCACTCGGCCTGCGTACCGTTGTGGACCATGCTTGCCTTACCTTCTTCGTTCTCTGCGGTCTCACTCGCCTTGCTCGCTTTAACGTCACTGTCTCGGTCCTCCCCAAGGATGCTACCGGCAAGAGCAAGTATTTTGAGGGTACGCCGATCCCTACGAGCCTGGGCCTAGACGCAGTCATGGCCTATTTCATCTCACAGAGATGGATACTGGGGGACTTGCCCTTGGGTACGTGGTTCGCCGGGTCACCGCTCGAATTCCACCCAATCGCCCTCGTGTTCGTCCTGCACGGATGCATGATGACAAGCAAGAGCATTCACATTCCGAAGCCTTAAACCACGCCACTCGGCAAGGAATTGATGAGCTACTTAACCGTTGTAGGACAAACCAAATCGTTGCTTTGTGGGCTTGGCTCCCAGGGAAATGGTATTGACCTTACCAGCATACGAATGTTGTGTACGGAAGCGATCATGAGCCGCCACCAGGAGTTTGTTGACGAGCAAGGATACAGCTTTCGATAAGCGGACTGGCAGAGTTACTAGGATGGGTAGAGGCTGGGCTGGATAGGTAAACCAACGGTTGAAAGCCTGTCGCAGCTTACAGAGATACATCTCAGCACACGCGCACACGAAAAATATGCATGATACCCATTCCCTCTACGCCTATTTTATTGTTGCAAGTGTCACCGTGTCTCGAAACTTTTCCCCCTTCCCGTAATCACCGATATCAGCCATCCTCCTAGTCTGAACCCTGCATGGATCCTTGTAGCGTGCTTCGCCGTGAATGCTCCTGCTCATCAATATCGCATCTCATAAACTCATGCTTATGCTTCCTTGGATGCAGGCTTGGCGGCCGAAGGGAAAGGGTTGTAGGTGCCGCGCTCCTCACCAAGCTTCTTAAGCTTTTCGATAGCCTCATCCAATGGCACAGGCTTGCCACGGTCTTGGCTGGAGGTATCGTCACGGTATCGGACGTTGACCTGTCTACCCTTCATCTCCTCGTCGCCGACGACGAAAATGAAGTTGTATTGGCTACCAAGGTTAGTAAGCAACTCCGAGGAGACGCCGATCAAATCTAGATGACATACCTTAACTGAGCACTGCGAATCTTCTTGGGCAGCGTGTTTCCGGTCAAGTCGACGTCACTAGTTGGTTCTGTCAGTCTTCTTCCCTCTAGGAACGTCTCAATACCGGAGACCAAACGTACCACCACATGCCCTGTTTCTTGAAGATGGACTGAACTTCCTCAGCATATTCGACAAAGCCCTTGCCGACTGGAATAACCATGATTTGTCTAGGGCTGAGCCAGAAAGGCCATTTTCCGGCAAAGTGCTCGATAAGGATACCTAACGCAAGACGCTGAGTTACTGTTCCCCCGGGAGCATGCACATGCGGACTTACCTGTGAATCTCTCAATAGAGCCAGCCATGGCACGATGAATGATGACAGGACGCTGACATCCGGTGGTCAGGGGCTTGGTGACCCGCTTCTTCTTATCATCTTCGCCCGTCCCAGCTGCAGAGTCGACGACGGCCTGGGGGTCCTTCATCTTGACCTCAGGGGCCTTGGGAGCGGCGGCAGCTTCATCATCTTTGGGCTTGATGGGGACATCCGCCGAAACATATTCCAATCCGAAATCTACCCTAGGTCAGCTTCTCACACCCATCTCACACTTGAACAGATACTGCATACTCTGTGGGAGCTGAAAGTCGAGTTGAATCGTGGCGCATTGCCATTCCTGGTGCCATCAGTACTCATTACTACAGCCAGGTATTAGCTATACTTACTCTGTTCAGAACATCTAAGATCTTGATATCGATCTTGGGACCGTAAAAGGCTCCATCACCCTCGTTCAGAGTCCAGGGCACACCTTTCGGCAGAGTTAGCGTTCATTTGAAAAGATTGGGTCCTTGAATTCCTACCGCCCGTCGAAGCCGCGAACTCGTCCAGAGCCTGCTTAAGCATGCCTTCCGCTCTGTTCCAGGTCTCAAGCTCACCCATGTACTTCTCTGGGCGAGTAGACAGTCGGAGCTTGAAGGAAAAGCCCAGCAAGCCATACATCTCGCTAAGGAAGTCAAATAGGCCGCTAATCTCCTGTTTGATCTGGTCCTCCCTGCAGAAGATGTGTGCGTCATCCTGCTGAAATCTGCGAACACGGGTAAGACCGGACAGAGCACCGCTTGCTTCGTTACGATGAAGGACTGTACAGGCAATAGTCAGCATGCGATACGTTTGAAGACAGAGCTTATAGTAAACTCACCCCCAAAGTCGGCGACTCGCCACGGCAACTGGTGGTAGGCCTTGGGGGTATGGGCAAACATGAGACAATGGCCTGGGCAGTTCATGGGCTTGAGACCGAACTTCTCCTTATCGACCTCCAGAACAAACATGTCATCCTTGTAGTGATCCCAGTGGCCGCTGATCTTCCACAGGTCTGCGTTATACATGTTAGGGGAGATAACCTCATGGTAGTCGCGCTTAAAGTATTGCTCCTTGATGTAGGCCAGCAGGGTGTTGTAGATGCGGGCTCCATGCGGAAGCCACATGGCACTGCCTGGGGAGAGCTCGTGGAAGAAGAAAAGTTGCTGGTCTTGCCCAATCTTGCGGTGATCACGGGCGGCGGCCTCCTCAAGCCATTTCTTGTGAGCAGCCAGCTCCTTCTTGCTGGGAAAGCTGACACCGTAGACTCTCTGGAGAGAGTCATTCTCTTGTGAGCCGAGGAAATAAGAGGCACTATTCTTCATGATGCTAAATGCCTCGATGCGTTCGGTGCTGGGTACATGGGGTCCACGGCAAAGGTCGATCAAAGGTCCGTTCCGGTAGACTGTAGTCTTGGTACCGTCAGGGATTTTGTCGTTGATGATGTGCTGCTTGTACTTGTTGTAGCTGAACATCTCAAGAAGCTGGTCCTTCGTCATCTCCAGGCGCTCGAATTTCTGCTTCTCCTTGACGATCGATCCGACGATGGACTCAAGGGGCTTCCAGTCGCTTGCTTGGACAGCAGCGCCGTCGGGAAGCGCCATCTCGTAGTAGAAGCCGTTATCTACCGGGGGGCCGATGCAAAGAGAACATCCGAATCTCCTCTCGCAGGCCTCACCGAGGATGTGCGCCGAGCTGTGCCAAAATACTTGCTTGCCCTGCTCGTCCTCAAAAGACAACAACTCGAGCTTGCAGCTCTTCTCCAAGGGTCGGTCCAAGTCCCACAGTTGGTTCTCATCGCCATCGAGTCTCGCGACGACTGTTCTCTTGTACAGACTGTTGGAGATGCTTTTGGCTATCTCGCCGGGGGTAGTCTCGTAGCTCGTTCCCTGGCGGACAGAACCGTCGGGCATTGTAATGGTGATGGGCTCACGAGGCCTCTTGGCGAGCTCTTCGTCATATTCCTTCTTCAACTTGTCAAAAAGATCGAGTCGCTGCTGCAAGAACTTGGGAGGGGGGTTGAGCTCAAGGGGCCCCGCCGACGCATCGCCAGCGTTCTTCGCCTTTTTCTCCTTCTTAGGGGCTTTGTCTTTGTTGTCGCTGCCGAGAGCGACTTTCTTGACGCCCTCAGCAACAGCATCGACAGCCTGCTTCGCGGAATCCATGGTTCGTCCAATTGAAGGGATTTGGTGGTGCGGATAGGTGAGATCGGCCGGACACGAAGCCACGATTTTGGGCGATAATTTTGGGCGAAACAGCCAGTCACCCCGCCAAAGCTCTATGGTGAGTCAAACAAGGGTTCGGGTGACTTTTTGAGGCGCTGTGTCCCGGACCACAATTGCTCACTTGCTTGTACATGCTGTGAACTGCTGCCAGCCCACATCTGTCCCACTATGGTGGAGACCAGGGAATTTTGGCGGGGTGTGTCGGCTGAGGATATTCCGCTCCGCCAGATTTAGCCAATGAGAAAGCTCGATTGGGCATGCACCACTATTGGGTCGCTGGAAATTTTCTGTCGGCGCGCCACAGGCATCGTTTTTTCCCCAAGCAGCAGCAAAGAGCAGCAGTACGAGCAGCTCCCACATTATAGCCAATCCACCATCATTATGTCGTTTGGACGAGGAGCTCCGCGTGGCCGCGGCGGTGGTGGTTTTGGTGGCCGTGGAGGAGGCGGTAAGTTTTCATTTACTTCAATTCATCATTGTTCTTCAAGTTACCGCTGTATCCCCTGCAAAGTCAAGACTTGGTGAAGCGCTCTCGCATCAGCAGCTAACATGATGATAAATAGGCCGAGGTGGATTTGGACAAAGAGACATGGGCCCGCCCGCGACGATTCTTGGTATGTGAATATCGAGCAACGACTCGAAACCTCCCCTAGAAGCAATTGCCCAACTGACCGTTTTTGTTCACAGAGATGGGCAAGTTCATGCACGCGTGTGAGGGCGAGATGGTCTGCGAGAGCATCAACCCCAAGGTTCCTCACTTCAACGCCCAGATTTTCCTCGAGAACAAGGTAGGATCGACGCGCCAAATACCTTCATCGATGTGAGCCGCAAGAATAACAAGAATACAGACTGCTGTCGGCAAGGTGGACGAGGTTCTCGGTCCCATCAACCAGGTCTACTTTACCATCAAGCCCTCTGAGGGTATCCAGGCTACCTCTTTCAAGGAGGGCGACAAGTTCTACATCGGTTCCGAGAAGCTTCTTCCGTTGGACAAGTTCCTTCCTAAGCCGAAGCCCCCCCCTGGTGCTCCCAAGTTGAAGCGTGCAGGCCGTGGTGGTGCTGGCGGCAGGGGTGGTCGCGGCGGTCCTGGCTTCGGCGGGCGTGGCGGTGGCAGAGGACGTGGAGGTCCCGCAAGAGGTGGACGCGGCGGCAGCGGCTTCGGCGGACGCGGAGGCGGTGGTTTCGGCGGCCGGGGAGGCACACCGAGAGGCGGCGGTGGCTTCAGCGGTGGTCGTGGCCGCGGAGGCTTTAGCAGAGGACGGTAGCCTTGTGTCCAAGTGCGAAGCTCTGAGAGGGGGAGGTTTTCTTCTGTTGGACTACGACTCTGGCGTTCTGGTTTGCTTTGCTTTGGCATCAGTCCTGGCGAAAGGGGCTCAAGGCTGCATGTACATCATCCACTATGGTTACCCGAAAAAAAAAAGAACAGAGGTCTTCATTGCGAGCATGGTTTGTTGCCATGGCACATTCCAGTAAGTTTTGAAATATTTGGTAATAGTATGAGAAGTGCTCTGGAAGACTGCGTGTCTTTCTATCTGCCTTTGATTTGAGGTTGGGTGGACGCGAGGTGAGCTGACGTGGGAACGAGGCGCAAGCGCGAGACCGACCAGGGCCTCTCGACGGAAGCCTGTTTCCATTTTTATCACAGCACCAACATCATCGCAGCCTATGGGACCGTCTACCTACCCACATTAGACGTCAGCTAGTTATACAACCTACAATGCCTTGCGCCGAGTCAACAAACCGCATTTTGATTGTCGCTTGACCTTTTAGTCTCTTTTTATCAAGTTCTTTTCCATGCGTTATTCTGAGTCAGGCGCCTCTTGCCTCTAAGCTCCCGCTAACCTGGGACCTTCTTCGCAGCACCGAAAGCTCCAAGACGGCAGACATTGTGGGGGGACATAGCAAAGATCAGTGTTGGGCAAAGGCGAAGGATCTTGCTGGTGGCGCGGGTTACTGCTGTGGAGAATGAGTTGCAAAACTCCGTCATCCTACTCGCTTCAGCCTCATCCTGGCCTTGTGGTTCTGATCCCAAGGCCTCAAAGTACTCGAGCTAACCACGGAGCTAATGCCGACAGGGTTGTCGGCGACGCCCCCTAGCCCTCAGTTGGGGCTGTTCATCTGAAGCTATGTATCCCGAAACCTGACGGAAGCTTCCCAAAATTCAGCGGAACTAACGAGCAAACATCAGATGAGAGAGAGTGTTTGTCGGTAGCAGTATAGCGCTAATAACCTGGACACTTTTCCACGGATGGAGTTCTGGCATCAACTTGCATGGGGGACCGTGACGTCCTGGGCCACGAGCCACAGCATATTGCTAAAGGATGGGAACTGTTTGCTTAGCTAGATTACACGCGGCAAATCGATAGAACGGGAGCCTGGAAGGTCTCCATGGCCTTCGCCCTGTCATTTTCGCTCATCCTTCCAACCTGGATTGGGTAGCGAACCCAGTCGTACGTTGAACGTATTGGAGTCGCTTGTTCGATTTCTCACTTTCTCAACTACAGCTCACGGACTTCTTCTCTGGACCTACCCGTCTCCTTCTGGCGTGAAAGCACAATGCTCCCGTCTTCTTGACCAGCACCAACCCGCATTCAAATACTATTTCATACTAGCAACGGGAAGCTTCCCTATGAATTTGCACGACAAAGACGGATATGGCAACCTCGCCCACATCATCAGATTTCATCCAGACTCCGACAACAGTATGGGAGACACGAAGAGCTACCGAAGCAATGCAAAGGGTAGCCGATGTTATGATAGCTGTAACAGAGTCCTTCAGACAGCAGTTCCGAGACGAACAACACCCCAGCAATAACGTCTCTCGCCACGAAGAGGCTGGAGATTCGGATTTGCGAGCATCGGTTGCAGACATTGTCTTCTCTATGGTTGACAATGATCTGAGCGGAACACAATCACGTACATTCAGGCCGAGCACGACTTCCTCATCATATACTCCCCCACGCGACGAACCAACGTCACCAACGTCAACAATATCACCAATATCATCAACGTCACCAGGATCACCTAGCTCAACCCACAACGCAGCAGTTGTGTCACTCGCATCAGGCACCACGCCTGAGGCCCTCTCTAGTCATCCACTGTTGGCTTCGCAAAGTCTGCGAGCACATGCGAGAGAACATTTGCGAGCTCCCCCCTCTACAAGGGACATCACGGCGCATGGTTTGGGATTGTGCAGGAGGCTAGCTCCCGAGGCCTTGGCACACCCGTCAGAATACCCTGATCTGTTCGAAGCAGCACGGAAGATTGTCATTACTCAACGCAGCAGGCACGCGATCGACACGATTCCTGCGGCCAACTGCCGGAACGATTACCTCTTGGCCGTAATGCAGACAAACGCTGTTGAAGATGACCTTCCGTGGGCAACTAGAGGCTATCTGTACCAAGAACAAAACCTATTGGAGAAACGACCCGTGTCTGCCCAGGGGTTTTCCCAGGAGTTTTCGCTACTGGGTGTCACTAGCCTTCATCAGATTCTTATGTTCGCTGGCCTCTCCCAGGGCATCGCTCCTGCGCTTGAAATCGCTAACTCACTCACGAACTTGTCGGAGGGCCAGCATTCCTGGTTTACTGCAGGCTTCGTCCTTACCCTGGGCGCGTTTACTATACCTTCGGTCCGACTAGGAGAAGTCTTTGGTCACAAGCGAATTCTGATATGCGGATGCCTATGGTACGCCTTCTGGAGCCTTCTCGCCGGATTTTCTCAGACTGTCCACAATGGCGGTTATAACGGCGCCACGTTTTTCTGCGTCTGCCGTGCTATGCAGGGTATCGGTCCAGCGCTGAGCGTTCCGAACGGTTTCTCTATCCTGGAGGCTTCTTTCCCGCCTGGCCAAAGGACACGGCACTCTCGCTCTACAGTTCCGGCGCGCCCCTCGGCTTCGTTATCGGATCTGTGATGTCTTCTGTCTTCGCCGTCAACTTCGCTTGGGAATGGTGCTTTTTTGTGCTCGCGGCCGTCTGCTTTTCAGCCGCGGGGCTAAGCGTTCTTTTTCTTCCACAACAAGATCCTCGAAAAGGGTGTTGTATTAATGACAATTGGGTGAAACTCGACTTCACGGGTATCATCGTGAGTGCTCTTGGACTGGCCCTTTTCAGTTTCGCATGCAATCAGGCACCAGCGTTCGGTTGGCGCACCCCCCACATTTACATTCTTCTCATCATCGGGTTCTTATTGCTTGTGGCTTTCGTGTACAATGAGACTGTCGTCGCGAACCCTCTCGTGCCTTTGCGGGTGATGAATTCGTCGACAAATCTTGTGCTGGCCTGTGTCGCAGCTGGTTGGGGATGCTTCGTTGTTTGGGCATTCTATCTTTTCCAGATCATGGAAGCAGTACGAGATTGGGACTGCCTTGTGGCAAGCGCTGCAGTTGTACCGATGGCGGTGGAGAGTTTGGCCGTGGCTTTTCTTCTGGCGTATCTGACACCGGGCATAGAGGTGTACTGGGCCTTTCTCGTGTCCTTCATCGGGTTCACGTCGGCGTCTGTACTCGTGGCAACGGCACCCTTGGATCAGACGTACTGGGCAAATATATTCGTGAGCACACTGCTTCTCCCACTTGGGATCGTCATGGCGGGGCCTCTCGCAACGATACTGCTGAGAAATAGTCTTCCGGAGGACTATCGGAGGGTTATAGGGGGCCTGGTGTTATTTGTACTTGCTTACAGTATGTCTATTGCTTTGGGAATGGCAAGAACGGTCGAAACACAGGTCAACGAGATCAAATTAGATGTACTGTCTGGGTACCGCGGGGCACAATACTACGGTATTGGGCTTGGGGGTCTTGGTACGCTACTCGCGTCTGCTTTGTTATTCCAATACTCGTCAAATAGAAGCATTTAGTCTACCGCGGGTACAGGATTCGGGGGTTCGAATGTTCCGAAACAGCAAAGGCTAGATGAGAGAGGGAGACTAGCTGACGACTTATTTGCGAGTGAGGCGAGCTATGAATGGAATTCAAACAACGAATGCATCACGGCCCGTGATATTGTTCTGTAGCAATTTGCTTCCCGCAAGCATATTCTGACATGTCCTTGACAGGGAAAGGAGAAGATACAATAATGATAGAAAGAATAGAGGAACCAATTAGGGATCAGGAATGTCTGAAGAACGAACGTATCTTGGTAGGTCCATACCCAACTTGTTGCCGATACTCTCCTCCTTCGTTGCGACACACCCCTTCTAATGAACGCAACTAGCGTCTGGCATCAACAGCAGTCGACCCGCCCTTGGGGTATTCTCCTGGAATATGTAAATTGGAAATCGTCGGGACGCTATCATTCCTTATAGTGCCAGCCGTCGGCCTAGGAGCGGACAGCGTTTGGCGGAAAAGATCCTGATTTCTGGGATTGGGTGTTCCACTCGAGGTACCGCTTTGCTGCGTGTGTATGTTATTCAAACCGCGCGAAGCACTCGTGCCTGCTGCCGCCGCAGCCACGTTGATATCATCGTTGCCTGGTTTAGCTGATACGGAATAATCGCTCGCAACTTGCCGTTGGTTGTCGGTGCTGGAAGTAACCTGACTCGACTTTGCGTTTCCATTCATCCATTGGCCGTACTGGCTGTTGCCACCTGGTGTTTCGAGTCCGCGGTCATGATCTATAGACGACGTTCGCTGAACATCTTCCTCGGGTCTGGTTGGTGCAGCTTGCTGGCTGTGTGCCCTCTGCATGCCTGTAGCATACAGGTATGCTGCCTGGGAATCCTTGTGCAAAGACTGAGAGCGGCGCAGAGGCTCATTGGTGTACGGGTTAACCCCATCTTCCTTTGCTTGTTGACTGACCAAGGCCGCATTGGATGGCGTCTCTTCCATGGGAGTCCGTGCTGTGCCCCCATATCCGTTTGAATGGACGGTGCCCAACATGCCGCCAGGCAAAGCCGACGGCTGCGCAGCCGCGTCTCTGTCCCAGTTATCAAATCCCGAGCTCACACTAGATGGCGAAAGAGGTGCCTGTAAGCCTCGCTGCGCGTTGACCTGGATGTCGGATGGAAACCGCCCACCTGCTTCGGGACGGCGCAAGTCCTGCCTCGAATTCGTGCTGGCTGCGACTGCTGTATCGGCCGAAAACGGTTCGTCATCATCGTCGTCGAGAACACCGTCACTGCTGGTTGACCGATGGGAAGACTGGCTTAAGCTCCGCACATGTCCTCGTACAAACTCGCTTCGTTCTTGTGGCGTACGCTCGGTGAGCACCTTGATGTCTTCGTACCATGCCATCATTGTGTCGTGGCTTTCGGCCCGGAAAA